TGTCTCGTAATAGAACCCTTGTTCGGTGGACTGCAAATGGTTGACTGAGGGGTAAGGTAGTTAAATTGTGTTTTGGTCACCGAATAATCCAACAATAACTGACCTTCAGGTAGCTTTCGTCAGGTTTTGTAATCGTCCCCCCCACATTCATAAGCACCCGACCACCGACCCAACGCACGCGGTTCGCGTCGTCCACCACGGCGGTGCGCTGCTGTCGTTTTGTAGGAAAGCGCGATGCCAAATCTCCGGTACAAAATAAATCCCCGACCGGTCTTTTGTGTTCCCGCCCATATTTATTTAACTCCCGTGGCTGCTGACAAATTGGAGCAGCCGCCCGCTCCATAGCCAAAGTACTAGGTATTAACGATGCCCGGGATTTTCTAAAAGGAGATACCGACTGCCGGTGACGGCTGGACCCATTGATTGAGCTGTTGGCGCGCTGGGTCATATATCATGGGTAACCGGGGCTTGGCGGGCGACGGAGTTTGGAATGCGTATCGCTCTTTCTTGGCGATTAATCAATTGGCGAAGAATAGTGAAAGTTGCCTGCAGGAGAAAAAAAAAAAAGTTGACCAAAAAGATGCTTCAAAAGTAAACAGAAACGCTGTAAAAGGAATAAAGCAGATCATTAAAATTCACGTAATTGAACCATGTACTACCACACACACGCAGATAAAAAAGGCATTTTGCAATACCGAAGCTCACTTCGTTTTTCTTTCTTTAAGGGGACTCATACACCTTAAACCCCTCATGATCTTTGAATATATGACTATTGCAAGAACTGGGATATTTTATTTGTTTTAAAAGCAATTACTTCCAACTTTTTACAACTGACTACGTAATATAGCTGCTTCGGAAACTAGTAACCAGAAAGTTTGTGTTGCCACAAATATTTTTGTAATTTCATCCTCTTTGTGACAAAATATTTCGCCATGCTTCCACCTTCCGCGCATCATATTTTTAAAATGGCTAATGGTGCATACTTGAAATTTGATGGAATTCTTTATACGGGCACTATTTTCTAACTGAACCAACAATCTGATGAATATTTTAATATTGAAAAATTTTATGGGCGAAAGCATTACAAATTTTTTTAATAAAATACATTTTATAAATTCAACTCAAAATAAAATAAAAATTTAACATGAAATTTTTACAATTTTAGGTTCACACTAGCTTCCAAATGTTATAAAAACTATATATTAAATATGGAATTAAATTATGAAACATAATGTTTTAAATTGTGCGCGCTAGGTGGAAACATGACGAAAAATGTTGTCACAAAGCGGATTAAATTATAAAAATATTTGTGGCAACACAAACTTTCTGATAACTATTTCAGAAAGCAGCTATATTATGTAGACAGCTGTAAAAAGTTGGTAGTAATTGCTTTTAAAACATATAAGTTATCCCAACTCTTGCAACAGTCACCTATTCGAAGATATTATGGGTTTTAAGGTGTATGAGTCCCCTTAAATGCAGTTCCTACGTCAAACTATGCTGTCTAAGTAGCTCCTTTCCTGAAGCAGTATTAGTTTATTTAAAACAATTCTGCAAATACACCCTAGTGATCCTTGTTATCTCTAGCTAAAACTGAGACTAATCAAATGGTTTGGTTTCGTAAATTATGACAAGAAACGCTAGGGCTATCTGCCTAAAATGAGGGAGGCGTTCGTGGAGGACTTTCTAAGGGAAACTGGCTCGTATACACGTTACACATTTAGAAACTTTGAGTTCATATTTAAATATTAAGCATCCGCTTGTCCGAGCCTCTGTATTTGTTGTTGTATATATATAAAATTACATGGCCTAACAAGGGTCATCACTGCATTTGCAAGCTGGGAAAGTATAAGGCTGTATTGATAATGGCATTATTACATATTGTTGACAAGCTATTGCTGTGTACCAATGGCATACATTATACATTGTTCATATTCCATGGAACAACGGTTGCCAGAGCCTACTCCGAAGAGAGTTTGGACTTCTATTTTCCACCCCCAGTTCTGAGGGAGAGCAGCCCGGGGCGGGGAATCTGGCGGTCTCCGATCCCTCTCCATTCCTACCAATCCAGACGAGAAGACATTCGACTCGCCATATATTAGCGCCGCCATGCCGCACCCGCACTATACACTTACAAACATCCATGTCTTCTCCGGGATTCGAACTCGGGCCCTTCGATACCATAGTAGGCTTGTATAGACCTAAATATTAAGCTACATTGGGTTAAAGCCCATATAGGTTTTATTGGTAATGAGAGGGCCGACAGCCTGGCCAAGCAGGCGGTCTCAAATGTCAGTGCAATGGATATTGAAGTAACAGGTTCGAAAAGAATTGCAATTCGAAGAATGAAAAAATTTTACGTTAACAAATGGAAAATACAGTGGTTCTCTTCACCTAAAAACAAAGGATTTATGGAACTAATTAAAATCACAAATAAAATGAAATGTATGAACGATATTGATGTTAATCAGGTTTCAACTGGACATAGTAAGTTTCCGTTCTATTTCAACGATTTAATCTGCAAGAAAATAAATTATGTAATAGTTGTCAGGTGGATGGTGATGCTAGTCATTTCGTGGTTGATTGCAGTTTAACAGCCCCTATTAGACAGATTTTTAACATTACTGATTTCAATGCAAGTGTTATTCATTTTAAAGTTTTTAAATCATATTATATTGCTCTAATGAAGTTTATTAATGAAAATAGGGCGCTGGTAGAAATCTTCTGTTAAAATTGAATTTTGTGTTTATATGGGTTTTAGATATCTGTGGTGTTTTATGTTGTGAATTTGTGTTTACGGATTTTTGTTTGTTTGTCTGTAATTTTGTGTTAGATGTGCTTATTTATTTTTGATTTAGTTTTTTTGTTTGTTGTTTGGGGGTGGCTGGGTTACTGGCTGCCTTCGTTTGTGGAGATAAGGGGCTCCTTTTGAGCTATGGAGACACTCGTGTCCAGGTAGGCTGAAGGGAGCCTCCAATTCTTACACGTTACACATAGCGAAAACCATATTAAGGAAATATTTTATTCTGTACAGTGTGTCGCCACTCCGATAGACAGCCTAGCGCTGGAGTTAAGATATTTTATTCCGTATTCTGTGTTGCTGTTACCGTGAAAAACCGAAATTGGAGAATGTCGACTTTCACCGGAGAATATCAACACTCACCAAATACGTCGGTGAAAGACCGAATATTCCACTACATTCTTGTATATTCGGACCCTCACCGGTGTAGTAGTGACATCACTGTCATAACTGTTCTGGATTTGTGTCATCACAACTGTGCAAGAGGCCACGGAACCGTATTTTGCTCTTTCATTTCATTTGATGTAGGGATCATTTCAGAGAGGTGTTGCCAATCTTCGAATAAAAAATCTCGACCATGGCTGTCGAAGTCACAAGCATTTCCACCGCCTGTACAATCTTTTCTTTGTTATCTCTTTTATATTAATATAATTGCAAATATGCCAATCACAGATATGCTCTGGTGAAAGTCGAAAAGAGAGGTCATAAAGTGCCATAATAGTTTAAGTTGTTGAAATAAATAAGATTTGAATCACATAATTTAGTAAGTTTTTTATGACTGTTATTTTATTTTCTCATTTAGAACGTACTGTATAATTAAGTAGGTTTTTAACTTCTATTATTTTCTTTTCTCATTTTGAATGTATTGTGTGTTTCAGGTTCTCATGTTCTTAAGTTTTTATTCTGAGTCTCAAGTGCGTTTATTCGCGACTGAATGACGGAGAAGGAAATATAATATTGTTATATGTTCAACAATGGTGAATGTCGACATTGACCAGTGTAAGTCAGAAATAAGAGTATTTGGAAAATATTTTGGACATACACCGAGAGACTATGTTAATGTTGACATTCACCGGTGGAAGTCGACATTCTCCGGATTTCGGTGTTTCACCGTAACATTGCCACTGCTCGTTTTGAAATCGAGTTAAAAGTTCGTTAAAATTTAAAAAATATGAAATGGATGATAAAACAGATTTGAAATTGAAATTTCAGGCTGCTAGGTGGGTGGAAGACTATGTTATTCAAAATTGGATGGCTCTAGGTACCGTTGCATTTTTTCACGAAGGGGCAAACTTGCATACATTTATGAATATTCTTCACTATTTAATTCTTTAAATATAATATTGACCAAAAATATTTGGTGAGAGCGATTTGAAAAGTGGCATGCTGTTTATAGTGATTCAAAGCAAAATGTCGTTTTGTGACTAATATCTTATTACCCTCCAGGGCTAAAAAGACATTATTATTTTTAACAATTGTGCCTTGAAAACTGGTGATCAGAATCAGGTCTTTTGAGTTTTAGTTTATTTGCGTTCGCGATCTGCACAGGTTGAAATCAATCTTTTGCAATTATATTAATATAAAAGAGATAACAAAGAAAAGATTGTACAGGCGATGGAAATGCTTGTGACTTCGACAGCCATGGTCGAGATTTTTATTCGAAGATTGGCAACACCTCTCTGAAATGATACCTACGTCAAATGAAATGAAAGAGCAAAATATTAAGGGTACGGTTCCGTGGCCTCTTGCACAGTTGTGATGACACAAATACAGAACAATTATGACAGTGATGTCACTACTTCGTGTGCCATCATTTTCCACAGCAATGGGACATTACTTTGCGGTGTCACCAACTCGCACAGCAATAAGGACATTGCTTAGTGACGTCGTTCTGTGCAAGATGAGACGCCACGAAATAGTGTCATCACTGTAACTGACGTGTTGCATTTATTGTTCATTACAATTACCCTACTTACTTGCATACAACCCCCTCCTTTTCGCTAACTTAATCGTACGGAAATCGAGAAGGGAAAATTACGCAAAGAATTTAATTTGAGAAAAATACGGTTATAACAACAGCATAACAAATAAATAGTATTCGGGAATGAACTACCGATAACCATCACAATTGTTGAAATTTTATCAACTTTTACGTGTTAAAATTTTAGTTCTCGAAATAGATTAGTGAAGTTTCACTTACCTTCTAAAGGGCTGCCTTAGAACATGCTTCTCTTCCTTTCGTATTCCGTTAGTCTATCTTGAAAATCCATTCACTGCCAAATTTTAATAAAACAAATTAAGAAATTTATTATTAACATATGAAATATATTTGTATAATACTTATAAAACAAATTAAGAAATTTATTATTAACATATGAGTAGTGGAAAACGGACAGTTCAGGGGCAGGAGGCGGAGCAAGCTCAGAGGCGGTGCAAGAGGAGGCGCGAACCACGTGGTTTTCGTCCACCATTTTGGAACACGTGGTCTTTCATTCTCCATCTTGAATGACTCACCCTCTTTCCGCCATGTTGGATCACGTGTTCCAGAATGGTGGACGAAAATCACGTGGTTCGCGCCTCCGCTTGCTCCGCCTCTGAGCTTGCACCGCCTCCTTTCCTGAACTGTCCGTTTCCCACTACTCATATGATATATTAATTCAGAAGTCAAAACAACAAAAATCAGCGTTATAGTTTCAAAATTTTCACAGGACTAGTTCCGATGGTTTTACCGAACCACCATCCTCAGCTGCAAAACCGAAAATGAACGAGATTAGATAAGATAAGAAAGCTTAAGATAAGAAAGTGTGTAGACACAATGGAAGGATGGGCGCAGCTATACTGGATGGCGTGGTGTCAAATGGTTCATCTGCCAAAGACGGTCAACAGCTTAAGAATACTACCTCGTTTATTCACATATACGGCGGCTAGTTACTTTTCCTTTCATCTTTTTTAACCAGTTAACTCTGGCGATAAGAGTGCGCACCGTTTTGCGTCGCCAGAATCGAGCCCTGACGAATCTATTCCGTCAGTACTATTTTATTATTAATATTGACTTAGTTGGTTAACATAAGCATATGTTACCATGAAAAGACCGAAATTGGAGAATGTCGACTTTCACCGGAGAATGCCAACATTCACCAAATACGTCGGTGTAAGATCGAATATTGCATTAAATTCTTGTGCATTGGGACCCTCACCGGTGTACGTCGACAATCACAGATATGCTCTGGTGTAGGTCAAAAAGGAGGAGACTTTCGCAAATAAATGCAGTTGTAAAAGCAAGGGCCTCTTGTGCAATTCAAAGTGTCATAATAGTTTAAGTTGTTGCAATAAATAAGATTTGAATCACGTAATTTAGTAAGTTTTTAACTTCTATTATTTTCCTTTCTCATTTTGAATGTACAGTGTGTTTTAAGTCTTATGTTCTTAAATTCTTATTTTCAGTCTCAAGTGCGTTTTTTCGCGACCGAATTGCGGAGAAGAAAATATAATATTCTTATGTGTTCAACATTCACCATTAGTACATGATGAATGTCGACATTGACCGGTGTAAGTCAGAAATAAGAGTATTTGGAAAATATTTCGAACCTACAACAAGCGACTATGTGAATGTTGACATTCACCGGTGAAAGTCGACATTCTTCAGACTTCGGTGTTTCACCGTAACATATATTACATACATATTAAACTAAAAGCACAATCAGTTAAATATTATACATATAAAAGTAATAATTTAAATTCCTGGTGTGGAGTGATATTCAGCGAAACAGGATACTATACACAATGCGACTTTGCAAATCGAACACCAGTAACGCGACTCCCTTCCTGATCTTACGTTTGCAGCAATGCAAACACCTTCGCGTAAAGTTTTTTTAGTCCAAAGGGATTTGAATCCCGAAGGACTATTAGTTTCCTTTTGGCATTTTGCGTCGGACTCATAAATGTCGGTTCACTTTTCCAACTGTTGCCACAAAATGTTAGAGTCCTGCATTATATTTGAAGAAATTAAATAATGAAAAATATGCATAAATGTATGTATATTTCTCGTATTGTGATAAAACAACGGTACATAGAGTCATCGAATTTTGAATAACGTAATCCTCCAACGATATGAGCATGTGGAAGACCCAATTTGAAATTTGTTTTATGATGGATTTCCTATTTTTTTAAAACTTTGACGAATTTTGATTAAGAAACTCAAGGATTTCAAAGCGAGCAATGTCAACGTTGTGCAGAAAAAAACATTTTTATCTCCGGCGCGTGAGTCTCTGTATCGGAATTCTAAAGATAGGCTCGTTTTAAACTATTTTGCGATATTGCTGTTGCACTGGATCTTATGGTTTAGTGCGAGGACATGATATTTAATAAGAAGGTAACACACAAAATGTTAAAAAAGCCCCTTTGGACGTATTAATAAATCGAAACTTTATTTTTTTTCCCCCTCCCCGATGTTCCGGGTATATAATCCAGAACATGATTCCCGCCTAAATGGCTTATATTAAGTCTAAAGGGCCGAGTTTGTGTCGATTTATTTCTTTTAATTGATGATACGTCGTAAAAGTGTCTTCAATAAATTTGAGCCAAAAGTTGATACGCGATAATGTTCCATTATTTTTTTTATATAATATGAATGCATTCAGACACAATGTCTAAGAAATGGAGAAATATCTTTTCGTAGTAGTTTTTCAGTCGTTTTCTAGCTGTGATAATTCCATCGCTCATATCCACTCCACCCATATTTTTTTATTATAATCAATCACTAGCTCTCCGGGTTCTTTGTTATTTTTTTTTCTCTGTTTCTATTACGTTTTTATTATGTACAGTACTTACTAAATAAACCTTCCTCTTATCTTTCCATTCCAGTATACGCAGGACGAGTATACTCGTCAATACACAAAATCGTGCCGCTTCTCCATGACGAGTATACTCGTCAATCACAGTTAACTGGTTAAGAACTTTTAAGAGTAACAAGCAAGACACCAACAGTGAGCCTCCAAGACACTAACATCAAGATTAAAGAGATGTTACTGACTACATATAAATAAATAGTGCCTTTCCGGCAGTAAAACCATATACGGAAAGGGGTTGAAGCATGTTATTGCCATTTGCGACACACTCAAATTTAGTCATATAAATCAAATCAAAACCCAAATTTTAGCTTCCTGCATAGTGTAACCAACTGGATACATAACTGCTTACATAGTATATAGTTTTGAAAGTTTCAGTGTGGGGTCATTATTATGAGTTGATGTGCAGGGTGTGGACATCATTTGTGTTTACGAATTTTTAATTTTGTGTTTGTTGTTATTTTGATGCATTCAAAGATTTAAAACTGTTTGAACAAGTTTATAAGATATGTATTCTATATATATATGTATGTAATAATAAAATATAAAAATTGTAGTAAGCTCGCCTAAAGTTACCAAGAGCTGCTGCTCCAAAGGTTCAACACGTTTTAAAAAATTAATACATCTGAAAATCAACCATTAGACATGTAAAACTTAAAAAACAAACAATAAAAAAGTAAGCGGAAAATGGTAAATTAGCCCATTGACTTCCAAACTGGCTTTTCAAGGGAAATTTCATTATTTGAACGTCGAATCAAGCTAACCCCAGACGCGTTTCGCCGAAACAGACAATTGAAACTTTTTGCTAAGAAATTTTAAAATTTAACAAAGTGTCTTGGAAATTTTATAGTCTCAATTCTCTGTTCCAATTTCCCGACGCGTCCGCTCAGAATGACACATTAAGGTGTTAAAATATGTTAATCAAAATCAAACCTTCTAAATCTAGTCTAAAATTAAAATCAAAACGAAAATAAATAGCGATGAGCTATTAGTCCTAAAAATACAAAAACATACGGGCCTGCAAGCTTAATAGTAAAAATGCACTTAAAATTCTAACTGCATGTTCTTTTCATTTTTAATGGCGACGTCTCTTATTTGAAAGTACGTGTAGTTAAAGTCACAGCCCCGTAGTCAAGTTGTTTTTCCCGCCTTTTCTCACGTACAGTTATAGAATGTTCTGGAGATATTTAAAGCGAACTGGAATGGCTGACGTCATTTCTTGGAAGCTCCGCCTTTCCAGAGGCTATAAAGGACTCGCAAAGGAATATCGGGTCTTTTCTTAAGTAAGATCAGTAAACTTCACACAAAAAGTTAGTACTTTTTTTATTTACTCCGGAGATCAGATTTTTGTAATTGTTATTTCTCTTGAATAATAATAAATGGATCCTGTTTCTTAAACTTATCGTCTGATAATTTAAGCTACGACTACATCTATGATTCTTCACCAGTCTATTTATTCCGGACAAAAGCTGGTACATCACATATATATAAAAGGAAGAGTCTATCCGTCTGCGTGTCTGTCTTTCGTTCCAGCAGCGCGTAAGCTAATAGACCCACGGCTACGAAATTTGGAACATAGGATGCATCTAGACAAGAGCCAGTACACCTCGAAGCGATTTTTTTCAAAATTCGAATGAGATTTGTTTTTTATTAGTCCAAAGGGATTTGAATCCCGAAGGACTATTAGTTTCGTTTTGGCATTTTGCGTCGGACTCATAAATGTCGGTTCACTTTTCAAACTATGCCCAAAAATGTAGAGTCCGCATTATATTTTGAAGAAATTAAAATGAAAAATATGCATAAAGGTATGTATATTTCTCGTATTGTGATAAAACAACGGTACATAGAGTCATCGAATTTTGAATAACGTAATCCTCCAACGAATATGACATGTGGGAACCCAATTTGAATTTGAAATTTGTTTTAGATCGATTTCCTATTTTTTAAAACTTTGACGAATTTTTGATTAACAAACTCAAGGATTTCAAAGCGAGCAATGGCAACGTTGTGCAGAAAAAAACATTTTATCTCCGCGCGTGAGTCTCTGTATCGGAAATTCTAAAGATACGCTCGTTTAAAAACTATTTTGCGATATTGCTGTTGCACTGGATCTTATGGTTTAAGTGCGAGAACATGATATTTAATAAAGAAAGGTAACACAAAGAATGTTAAAAAACGCCCCTTTGGACGTAAGTTTAAAATCTGAAACATTTCAGTTTTTTTTTTTTTTTTTTTTTTTTTTTTTTTAAAGAAATTGTGTCAAATCCATGATTCAACAGCAACATTGGCACGCGCCATTCTTGCTGATAGATTTCTTCTTGCTGATTCTTGCTGATATTTCCATTATTGCCGATATCTGCACTGTTGCCACTCGGAAATGAGGGCGATAATTCTGTGCAGTTTTTAAATTTGCTTCTCTTGGGTAC